AATTCAAATTAAAGATCATTCAGATCACTGGTTTCGATAAGCTTATTGTCAAACATACCGCCTCGACAAGACAACCCCGATGATACCAAATTAGTTAAATCATAGTCTAATGGATTCTTGATCAAGCCATTAAAGCACTTTTGGAGACTTCAAATTATTAATAAAATGGTTAAATGAACTCCAAATTTGACATATATAAAGTCAAATCAGACATGTCAATGAGAGGAATCCACGAGACCATCTATGACCCTTTAATTTTTCATCATTAAATCACACAAATCATTACAAAATTCTATATGATAAAGGGGGATCAATATAGGTCGTTTGATTAGGTGGTTGTAAAAGTTACTCGCCAAATGACCCAATATCCTTCCCTTGAAGCATATAAATAGACCCCTTAAGGAGGGGGGAGGAGTCCAATTCCACTGTTTTTCTAGACTGAAGATCCAGTAATAAATTGTGGCCTCAGTAATTGTCAATGACCTTCAACTACCATCTGATAGTCGTTATCGACCACCACTGGTTGCCCCAAACTTGCCATTCTTTTCAAACTACAATTGCTAATGAAATAGTGGTGCAAATGAGTTAAGCTGACTCGTGAGCCAGCTCGAACTCTACTTGATAAGTGACTCATGAACTAAGCTCGATATGCTTACAAGCCAAACTCAAGTCAAACCCGAACTAAGTGAGTCGGCTCATTTAAAAAATTATGAACATAACTATACTCAAAATATATTAAATTTTAAAATTTTGTTTTTAAGGTGATAAAAATGTTAAGAAATAATATTTTTAATTATATATTAGGTAATTTCTTATTATTTATCTCCTAATTGTTCATTCTATTTGTCAACTTAGTATAAAGTTATTTTAAATTAATAATATTTTCTCTCTTTTAAATTAAACATGTCGGCTATTTTAAGTTATTTTAATTCTTCTATTTGTCAATAAGCTTGAACTCTATTTTAAACATGTCGGTTATTTTAAGTTATTTTTATATTGATTACTCTAAACATGTCGGCTATTTTAAGTTATTAAATATAAAGTTATTTTAAATTAGGTAATTTCTTATTATTTATCTTCGATTTGTCAACTCGTAGAATTAAGCTCGAGCTCGAGCTAGAGCTCAATAAAATTAATCAAGCTCAAGCTCTAGCCGAAGACATCTCGAGCTCGACTCAACTCGTTTACACCCCTATAATGAAGTATTAACAAACTCCCGAAAACGGAGCAATGAAGTATCATGATGTGGGATAAGAAAGTATCCTAAAATATGGGGCAACAACTTATCTCAAATATGGTATAACAACAAATATCGATACAAGGAAACAAATAATTTTGTATTATAGATCTAGTGAGAACTCTTGGCAACAATTCCTTAAAAATGTCATATTTACAATACGGTGACTTTCTTATCTGAACTTTTGAAGTTTTCTCCTTATGTTGTATACCAATGAAATGATGTCTTTGGCCTGTCATTCGTCAGACCATGTATTTTAGCCTGTTGTCCATTGAGCTCCATCCTCCGGCATGTGGTCTCGATCATTGTCGACGTCTAGCCATACCCGATCTACCTTAGCCTTGCCTACTGCCCACTTCACCGGCCTAACCCGACCGCGTCCATGCGCTTCTAACCTAACCCACATCGACCTGATTGTCTGCTTATCCGCTCTCATGTGCTTCCTTACTCCGACAATCGCATGCCACAGCATGCGGTGCTGTCTACTGCCTGTCACTAACCAACACCAAAAATTTGAAAATTCTTCATTTTTTGTATTATTTTTTTTATTTTCAAATGACATAATCAACATCGCCCAAAAATATGGAAGAAATTTATATATTATTAATCATTTTGTATGAATCTCGATCATTTTTTGAATAAGAAATATTTCGATTCAAATTAA